AGCTGTGGCTAATTGCTTTCTTTTAGAAGTGATATTCTCATTTCATCAAGGTTTGAAATAAATAGTATGTAATTCTGAGAACTGATGTAAGAAATCCCGCTCCTCGCGGATTCTTTACTTCTATTTCTATCTCTCACGTAATCAATAGAGCTAGCAGCCCTTGGCTACACACAACTATATAGACTGAAGTTCATGAATACTATTCATAACTCAGCTTGAATGCTATTATACATTTAATCTCTACATTTTATCTTTCTACTGTGAATACTTCTAGCAGTTAACAGTATATATTATATCAAGCTGCAAACATCTGAATAATTATCTGTGAGTACTTATTCTTATATTTCAAGCTCAGTCAGTCAGCAACTGTCTGTTATGACTGAAAGAACTAGAAACTTATATACTTTAATCTCTGTGAACTCTACTGCAGGCACTCAGAAGTAGCTATCTGAATCATGAATAGTTGCTATGAAAGAAGTCTTAGAGATCTTATCAATTACTTATAAGATATCATTCTCTGCATCTGTAACAGAGAAACTCTCTAAACTTATAAATAAATCAATCTCAGTAGAGAACATTCTTGAGCATCTCTCACAGAATCAAGCTATTTTTCTATGAGAAATGCTTACTATCTGTAAACATTCTCAAACTAAGTCTCTAGACATGATCTTCAGAGACATCTGCAAACTGAAAAGAAACTTTCTTAAGCTGTGACTACTTAAGATCACTTATCAAATCATAATCTATAAAAGCTTTTATAAGTTTGTATTTAAAATTGACTTACAAGCTCAGCTGTGTGATATGAAAGATGAAGAAGCTGTTATCTATGTAATAACAGATCTCTATTACACTGAAGTCAAGAACTGGCTAAATTATCTAAAGAATGATTATAAGAGATCTTACTGATCTGTTCTTAAGATCTATCTAAAGAATAATTTAAGAGACTCTGTGAGCTGAACAGAGAACATCTGAGCTGTGATTATCAATATTAGAAAAAGAGATGAGAAATCTGATAAAAACTACTCACAGTGCTTTATAAAATTGTGATGTGAATTGAGATCTGTGAAAACAGAGCTCTGAAACAAGATCTGAATGATGATATTTATTAAAAGACTGAATAAAGACATATAAAACAAGCTTATTGAGTAAAACTCTAAGTTCTTGACTCTGAAGAAACTGATGACTCTTATTCATCACTTACAGATCACTGTGAGAGTCACAGATCTATGAAGAGTGAATCACTGACTGACTCTGCAAGAGCCAGAACAACAGAGAACAGATTTGTTAGAAAAAGATAATAAGATACAGAGAGATTTGTATCTGACTACTGAGCAGAGAGAGAGAGCTTCACAAGCTTCTGTAAACAGAGTATATAACAGAGAGATTAAGAAAAAGAGACTCTGCTTCATCTGTTTTAAACTAGAACATCTCTGTACAAACTATTTAGACAAATTAAAATAGAATTTTGAGAAGTTACAGACAGAGTCAGTAACAGTCTTCTTAAGAGTCTTGAAGCTAACATCTGAATCTGTTACTTCTATGATGAAAATGCTTACTTATAGAGAGAGACTGCACTATGATACTGCTGCTCTGTAAGTATAAAAAGTATTAATAAACTCAGAATCTCAGGTCACTGTAGTGTTTCTGAGACTTACAGAGTGAATAAGCTAAATAATGAAAACTGAGAACCTGCACTTATAATAAACAGAGTATGAGAACTCAGATCTGAGAGCTGAGAGACTTGTAAGAGTTATCTTTGAATTACAAGATCTCTCTGAAATCTGAAGAAGATTTGCAGAAACTGTGATTATTATGAATATCACAGATAACATATACTTAGAACTTGTATAACTTCAAAGACACAATCTATATATAGCTGTCTATGAGTCAGGTTCATACTTCTGATCAGTGTTGACAGACTCACTTATAAAGATAGAATCAGTTAATACTGCAGAGTTAATTAGAGAAGACAAGATCATCTATATAATAACTTTATAAGTATCTGAGAATCTTGCAGTCATGAAAACTGAGCTTCAGATATCAGAGAAATACTGAGATCTTACAGAGATGTTCAGCTTAGTAAAGATAGCTGAGCTTTCTTCTCACTATAAGAAGAATCTAGTAATAGATTTAATAGAAGAGCAGAAACTCTTCTGAGAATTAATCTATAAGCTCTCTCATTATAAGACAGAGGTCTTGCAGATCTATATAAAGAAGAATCTGAAGAATAACTTTATCTGATCTTCACAGGTCTCTGCAGAAGCCTCTGTAATATTTGTAAAGAAGAAGAATGAAAATCTCAGATTATGTATAAACTACTATGATCTGAACTTTAAGATAATAAAGAGCTACTACTCTCTGTCTCTGATTGAGAATATAATCAACTGTCTTACAGAAGCTGTCATATTCATATAACTAAATATGATTAATATATATACACAGCTGTAAATACAGTCTGAGAATAAATAAAAGACTGTCTTTAGAACTGCACTGAGATTGTTTAAATATCTAGTGATATCTTTTAGTCTGACTAATATCTCTGTGACATTTCAGTCTTTCATTAATAAAATACTTTATGTATATCTGAATGTCTTCATAGTAATATATCTGAATAATGTGATGATATACTCTGTGAAGAAGAAAGAATACACTGAGTATATACAAAGTATGTTGAAGATCTTAGATAAGACAGAACTGTATATTAAGCTTATAAAGTACAACTTCAGTGTCTGTTGAATTAATTTTCTAGAATATATAATCACTGCAGATAATATTCAGATGAAATCTTTACAGATTAAGACTATTCTATTAAAATCAGAGTCAACTAGTATTCACAAGATTCAGATCTTTCTGAGCTTTGTGAATTTCTATAGATGATTTATCTTTATATTTATGAGAATCTTCTTAGCTCTTACAGACATGCTGAAGAGTGAAAATAAGAAGAAGTTATTCTGTGAACAGAGAATGAAAAGATTATTAAGAAGAGAGAACTGTGAGAACTTTCTTATCTCAGAAGCTCACAGAGTCTTTGTAAGATTAAAATAGATATTCATAGATACAGTAATACTATTTCACTTTGATCTCTTACTCTTAATCAGATTAAAGATAGATGTCTTCTTCTTTATAATTTCAGAAATAGTCTTATAACTACAGTTAAATGAGAACTGAGTTTCAGTAATCTTTTTCTCATAGAAGATGTAACTTACAGAGATCAACTATAATATTCATAATTAGAAGCTTCTTATAATAGTGAAATTCTTTCATCACTAATATCACTACTTTGAGAGTCTTGTGACAGTGATTACTGTCAGAACTGATTATAACAGCTTATAACAGTTTACTTTAATCAAGAAACTCTCACAGTAGCAGATTCACTGAGCTCAGAGACTGAGTGAGTTCTGATTCAAGATAGAATATATTAAGAGAACTAAGAACTCAGCAGACAGATTCTCTCACAGACCAGACTATGTTAAGAAGATCAGAATGACAGACACAGAGAAACTAGAGAAGATAGAAAAGCTTCATGAGATACTCAGACTGAGTGTTGTAAAGAGATTAACTGAAGAGTCTCTCAATTCTCTGTGAGAGAAGAAAGAGAAGAGAGAGAAGAAGTCTGTGTAACTACTCTCTACAACACTGAGAGTTAACACTCTGAGAATCTCTGTGAGAATTCTTGAAGAGAGTATCTATAATCTGAAGAGTTTGTGAACTTTAAGAAGCACTGTGAAAGACCTGATATAAGAGAAAACAGAGTATAAGTCTTTGTAAGATTTTCTATTCAGATTGTCTGAACTACAACTGAAGAATAAATATGCTCAGTATATTCAGAAACTGCTCACAGCAGAAATTAACTCTGCAGAAATAAAGAATTGAAGAGACTTAAATAATCTCTTATAAAGAGAGAACTGAATTTATATATCTGTGAATAAGTGTAACGTGGCGGAACCGAAGCGGTGGCTAGTCGGCGGCGACACGTAGAGGTGGTTGTTTGAGAAGCTGTATAAGTGAGCTTGACTATCTTGCTTAAATAGCGAGCTCATAGGCTACAGGGTTATTATGAGGATATCACAGATATGATACTTAGTATACTAAGAAGATTGTATGAGGCATGCAGTAACTCTTGTGTATATTCCAGTAGCAGCAAAACAAATCACTGACTTCTTTGATGAGGAGTCAGCATCTAGCTATTCTATATAGACAATGAGCGGATACTCTTCTTTCATTTCACAAGTGAGGATAGCTGGAGTGATACCTCAGCAGTGCCTCATTGTCAAGGAAGAGTAATCTGCTGACCTTGTATAGAAGTGAGGTTCTCATACTCATTAATCAGATCTTTCTATGATATATCTGAATGATGTCATAGAGTGGTTGAAAACTGATTCAGACAGAATGCAGAATAGATGAAATCATCTACATGAAAGCAATGAGCTGTGTGAAACCACAATGAGGCCTTGACACAGTCAGGAGCATGACAATACCCTCCTCTTTAAGAGCATAGTCTCTATGCTCTCAAGATTACTGGATTAGAAATTATCTTTGTTGTATAGCAATGATTATCAACTGATTGACAGTGCATGTACTGTGTGTGATACAAAGATGAGTTTTTCTGCTGACTGTGTAGGTCTTTCTTTTCTCATCTTCATTCAAATCAAACATGTGATAAGTGGGTTCCTTATATATTGATTTGAAATGTGGAAAAATGTAGTTAATAAGTGACTTACAGATCTCTCAACATATTCTATTCTACATATGAAATTCCCTGCAAAAGTGATGTGTTTTAGAGACAAAGCTAACAGTAGTGATAGGATTTTTTTGAAAGATTCTTCTCTCTGTGACATATTTTTCTTTCTCCTCTCTCATCTGCAATAGTGAGTGCATGGGAGTATCATCCTTGAAGAACAGTAGAGAGCTTATTCTGACATTTTCTAGTGAATAACAAATGTCTTCATGGTGCGGCGGCGGCCTCTGTGGCCGCCAAGAAAGCCAGGTTGAAGGCAGTGATGTCAATGAGCTGCAGAAGCACTGCTCTTATCATCACATCTTCTCCTACTTCTCTTGCAGCCGCGGCGGAAGTTGCTGTGCCCTGTAGTGAGATGTTGTTCCTTCTGCCGGCTGGTGCATCTGCATCTGGTCCATCCCCTGCCCCCCCCACCGCTGTTGTGACGCTGCCCCCCCCCCCAGCCAATACAGTGGTGTATGACCCCGTGTGGTCATTTGGAGAGGAACCCGGGGAGAGCTTGGTTCTGGGGACAGTGGCTCTGAGGAGCCCAATCCATAGTTCCCCTCCCACGGCACGCCCGAGCCCTGCTCAGAATGCTGCTGAGTTGAGTCTGCAGGATCCTGCAGTTCCTTCATCTTCTCCCTGTGAGAAGGCTCTGATGCAGCCTCTGACTGGCACTGCTACTTGTCTGCACTGTGTCAAGCAGCTGAAGAAGAAGGGGATTTTATGCATCTGCTTCTTCTCTCACTCTCATTGTTTCTGTTGCACCTGCAACAATGACTCCTGTCTCTCTGTAAGTATTATCTACCTTATAAGAAGGTGTCATGTTGGCTCTGACAAGGAGCTCAGATGCCCAAGCAGTACAGAGTAAGGATCTCAGAGCTTCAAGTATTGACAGATTCTGTCAAGACTGAGAAGATCTTTCTTATTCATCTGCAAAAGAAGGTGAAAGCATGAATCTCTGAGATGAAAAAACATCTCAGAATGACTGGTCTTAAGAAGAGGTCAGCTGATACTGCTGTTGAAAGCACTGCAGAGATCAATCACTGATTGAAGAGAATCTCACTTCAGTTAAAGCAGATGACTGAGATGCTTTATAAGTTAATAAGTTGATACTTTCAGCATCTCTCATGCTCTTCTGTAGCATGCTTCTCTGCAGTACTGCAGTGCTAACTTCTCAGCAGATAAAGATATCAGTGTCAGAGACTTCAACAGTGAAGAATAAGTTTGATAAGAATGTGATTATTAATGAGTAGACTCTGATTCCTCTTTTTACTTTTTCAGCAGGCTGCAGCCTCATTAGAATAGCAGCAGTCTGCAGATTGATAATATTAATCTTTTTATTAATTTCAAATATTTCTTTTCTTTTAATCACTTCAGAAACATTACACTTATGTAGTCTTATTAAACTTCTAAAAACCCTTTGAGAGAAAATAGAAGAAGAGTGCTACAGAGTCTACAAGACATCAGCTCATCACTGCAAGATTATCTCTAAAAAACCCTTTAAGAAAAATGAGAAGTTTCAAGCAGTATTTCTTGCTCAATGTCTCTGATGTGTAACAGAACAGTCTCTACTAGCTGTCTTATAGATTGCAATCTCTTTCTCAGCATTTTCCAAATACTCAAGCAGTTCTCACAAATTCTCTGATGATGAATAATCTTCTCATTTAATAAGATATTGAAGCTTGCTGTAATGTGTTCACTTATTCAATATTTCCTTCATAAGATATTCAGTATCACTCTCAATCTCAATGTCATTCAGCCAAGGCAGCTCTGCCTCAGAGCATTGCTTATAGAGCTTCAAATAGAAAATGTGAAAAACAGAATGAATTGATTTCAATTCTGTGAGTAATTTCAACTCATATATCTGCTTACTTATCACTCTTGTTACTGAGAAAGATCCTAGTCATCACTCACTGAGCTTCTTACATGATCTTGTTGTCTTGATATTCTTTACTGAAAGTAGCACTTGATTCTCTATCAAGAACTTCATCAGAAGATGTTTTTGATTATAGTATTTCATCTATCACTTCTGGGCACAGCAGATGCTTTTCACTGCCTTCTTATGAATTTTGTTTAAAAGTTCCAATCTTGCTTTTACTTCTGACACTGAGAGATACTTCATTCTCTGTATCTGTTCAACATTCTGACTGCCTATCCCTCTCTTTGAAATGTTGTCCACAATGTCACTGAGTAATGAAGAATTATATTCATAACAAGTATAGAAAGAAGATATCTTTAAGGTTACATTCTTTGTATTATTATATGTGAATTCAGTGATCAGAAGATGTTTGAGTCAATTATTCTGATAATATGAACAGAACACTTAAAGATGCTATTCTAGTGTCTGATTCTGATGTTCAGTCTGGCCATCAGTCTGCAGATGAAATGCAGTACTGAGGAGACATCTTATTGTAAGATGATAGTAAAAAGTCAATCAGTATTTACTGATGAAGAGGGATTCTTGATCTATTATCAATGATTTTGAAGCACTGTGATCATGAATGATGATATCTAAAAACAGGTCAGTCAATTCAGAGGCTTTAATCTTTTTATGAGTAGAGATATATCTGGTCATCTTTGTGAAGCAGTCAACAATGACTAAAATTGAGTCATATTCTTTGACTCTTATTGACTTCAGCAGGTCAACTATGAAATTCATCAATAGATTCTGTCATAAGCTCTTTGAAACAGACAGTGACATCAACTCACTGTATTACTTATACTGTGAAATCTTTATTCTTTGACAGATATTGTAAGTTTCAACATACTCTTTGACATCTGTCTAAAGCTTGTTCTAAGTGTATTTACATTTTAGAAGCTTCTCAGTCTTCTCTAATCTGAAGTGCTCTGCATGGAGATCATCATGATGAATCCTCAATAACTCCTGACACACCACTCTGCTACAAGGAATGAAGACTGAATCATTCAGCAGTAGAAGTTCACATTCTTCTAGTTATCAGTGACTTGATTTCTTAGCAGCACTGCCCTGCCCAGGACCTGTCTCTTTCAAGTTCAAACTGAATTCTTTCTTCTTCAACTTTTGAATTTGAGCTGCAGTAGAGATGTCTCTCTTCTGTAACTTATCAATGAATTTCAAAAGTAGTTGAATTGAAAGATTGTAGACTGTTTTATCCTTTGTCAATTCAATGATTGCAAGATGTGACATGAGAAGCTCATGATCTTCAGTGTCAGTTCCCCGCGGGGATCTGGGTTCTCTTCCACCTTCTATACTGGGTTGTGCAGCTGCCTCTCTGGTGCTGTTCTCAAGCTTTAGAGAATCTCAACCCTCTGCAGCCAGCTTCTTCTGCAGTGATGACAGAGGTTCTTTTATAGAATTCTTCTCTGCATCAACAATATTATAATCAGACTGTCTAGACAGTGCGTCAGCGAGGTTAAGCTGACCTGAATAGTATCAGATATAGAAATCATACTCTGAAAGCAGCTTTGCCCATCTGGCTTGACATTCTATCAAGCTCTTTGTTGTCAAGAAGTAATGCAGATTTGCATGATCAGTGAGAACTTACACTGAGTACTTACTATTCTGAAGATAATGTCATCAGATCTTAAAGAATTTGACAATTACTAACATCTTCTGATCATGAGTATCATACCTTCTCTGTGTGAGTGATAACTTCTTGAAGAAGAAGGTCACTGATCTTCATTCACAGTGTCTTGTAGACTCTGTGAAAAAGCCTTCTCTCACAGACAATTCATTGCCTGTTTTCTCAGAAGTGATTATTCTCTAATTCTTTCAATGTTGAAAGGCCTTCAATGTCAACTGTGAAAAGATTTCACAGATTCCATTCCTGAATGCATCAGTCTCACACTGACTGAGTAAGTCAGGATTAAAATGATTCAGCATTGTAGCATCTGTGAAAGCTTGTTTCAATTTCACAAATACCTGCACGGCGCCTTGAGTGAGGATAAACAGTCCTGTTTTTCTGTCTTTCACACTTCCCTTCAACAGATCTGTAAGAGAGGCAGTAATCTGTGAATATGCATAGATGAATTGTCTGTAGAAATTCACAAATCCTAGGAACACCTGCACCTCGCAGTATGTCCGCGGCGCCGGCCAGTCCTCAATGATGAAGACCCGGCTCCTGTTCATTGAAATGCCATTCATCTCAACAATATAATCTAAGAAATCAATCTCCTGCATGTAGAACAAGCATTTTTCAGTGTTTGCATAGAGTTGATACTGTCTCAAGTGACTCAATACTTCTTGAATATGGGTATCATGTTCTTTCTCTGATTTTGAGAAGATTAAAATGTTGTCCAGGTATACTATACAGGAGACATCAACAAGGCCTCACAGCACCTCATTTATATAGATCTGAAAGATGGCTGAAGCATTACAAAGATCAAAAGATAAAACAAGATATTTAAAATTGCTGTACTTGATATGAAAAGCTGTTTTTCAAACATTGTCTTCATTAACTCTGATTTATGATAGACATCCTGTATATCAATCTTTGAGAACACCTTTGCTCCAGATAATCAATCAATCATCTCATTAATTAACAGTAATGAATAGCAATTCTTAACTGTCACCTTATTGAGACCTCTGTAGTCTATGCATAGGTGTAGCCTATCATTCTTCTTGAGCATAAAGAGTATAGGCGCCCCTGCTGAACTCTTTGATAAATGTATTCAGTTCTTTGATTGCACTTCTTCAAGATATTTGTGCAGAACATCCAACTCCTTTACAGACAAGTTGTAAAGAGGCCTGTACAGCACTGTTGCACTGTCTTCAAGATGAATCTTATGTCATATCTTGATGTCAGGAAACTTTGCTGCTTCTCTTTCTGAAAAGACATTCTTAAAATCTGTAAAGAGACATCATGTACATTCACCTTCAATGATGAATACTACTGCTAATCTTGCAGCAAGGATGATGACTTCTTCACCTGTTCTCAAGTCTCAATCACCTGCTACACAGTATATCAACTCAATCTTTTTCTCAAGATTCTTCTGATGAAACTCTTCAGATTCCTCTATTACTGCCTCTTCATCAGTGAGGTGATACTGCCACACCTGAGTGACTCAGTCAATGAGAGAATTGTTTTCTCTCAATCACAGAAGACCTAGAATGACATTCTCATCTATGATATTGACTGTATGAAGAAGCAGACTGCTCTCCTTGAAGATTTCTTCTGAGTCTGTGACCACACACTTTGCTTGAATTATGCCAAAATGATGGCATTTCATTTCATCTGTAAATTTTACATGGTCTGACAGACCTATCTTCTTTCAATTCTTCATCAAAGAAAAGAAATAGAATATGAAGTTGACATCTGCTCTGAAGTTGAGTAGATATCTCACTAATACCTTCTCATTCAGAGTATGCATTGTGATTATAATATGAACTCAGAGACATGAGAATTGTCAATTCTTTTCTTTCTCTTCTTTATCTTTCACAGATACATTTGTCAGAAGAGAAGTCAACTTTGAGAAGATGTCTTCTCAGTTCCTTCTCTTCTTTGACTTCTTGCAATCACTGACATAGTGACCACCAGCTCTGCAGTTGAAACAGAGATCTTTATCAAATCTTTTTTAATGTTTCTTCACAGTGAGTGAAGAATCAGAACACTTGAAATTCTTCTTTACTTTCTCCACACTGAAGCTGTTATGACACTATTTAAATCCTGTCATTGATTGCTTAGAAGAGGTCTTGTTAATCTTTTTCTCAGAGAATTGATTATTCAAATAGATTCAGAAAGCCAGGTTGACAAGCTCAGTGCAATTGATTGATGAACTCTGATATTATGATATCATTGTTCACATCTTATGAGTCAGCTTCATGAGATAAAGCTGTATTTTTAATTGATTCAAATCATTGATCAGTTTCTCTCAATATTCTTCAAATCTTGCATTGAAATTGAAAGGATTTTCATCATCTCATTGATATAATGAGTTGAACTGCTGCACTGCTGTGAAGCTGCAGTTGTGATGATCTTCAATTTGGTTCAGTAGAAAGTTCTTGAATTCTTCTCAAGTTATAACAGCATTGATATGCTCAAGCTCTCTCTTCTTGATGACTCAAGTAGTCACAGAGATGTCTTCAAGAAGGTTGACAGTGTATATTACTTATATCTCATGAGTATTATACTGGCTCAGGTTAAGGTGGAATTTCTGTTCAAGAGTATGAGTAAAGCTGTGGAATTCAGACAAGATGTTTCTCTTGTATCTTGATGAATCTTCAACCTTAATCTCTCTATCTTCATGATAGATGTAGGTGTGTAGGGGCCGCAGCGGTGGCAGGGCGGTTGGAGGGCTCATGTCAAAATGTGCAGTGAGTTCAGAAATCTTGGATTCCTGCTGGGATAGAGATGTACACACTCTAGGAAATGGTGTAGTGTTTCCCTCAGAGGGTGAGGTCAGATTGGTCCCAGCACAGGTGTGTGAGGCCATATCAGTCTGTTAGAGCTCAACTGATTCAAACATGTAATCAGATCAAGTAATTCAAATTGTAATATGACAGAACTGAAGCAGTGGCTAGTTGACAGCAATATGTAGAGATGATTGTTTGAGAAGCTGTATAAGTGAGCTTGACTATCTTGCTTGAATAGCGAGCTCATAGGCTACAGGGTTATTGTGAGAATATCACAGATATGATACTTAGTATACTAAGAAGATTGTATGAGGCATGCAGTAACTCTTGTGTATATTTCAGTAGCAGCAAAATGAATCACTAGCTTCTTTGATGAGGAGTCAGCATCTAGCTATTCTATATAGATAATGAGCGGATACCCTCCTCTCATTCCATGAGTGAGGATAGCCAGAGCGATACCTCAGCGGCGCCTCATTGCTAAGGAAGAGTAATCTGCTGACCTTGTATAGAAGCGGGGTTCTCATACCCATCAATCAGATCTTCCTATGATATATCTGAATGATGTCATAGGGTGGTTGGAAACCGGTTCGGACAGGATGCGGGATGGATGGAATCATCCGCATGGAAGCGATGAGCCGTGTGAAACCGCAACGGGGCCTTGGCGCGGCCGGGAGCGTGACAATAAGTTTCTATATATAGAACTTATTAAAAGGTATCATGACTCTTCTCTAGTGAGTTATTTTACAGATACTAGAACTCATGAGTTGCTTGTAAGAAAATACTTCTGACTGAAGATGTGAGAACTTATGAAGAAGATAGTGAATTCTTGTACTATTTATCAGAATTTGTGAGTAGTGTGATTCAGATTATATAAAGAACTTACTTCTCTACTCATTCTGTGAGAAACTTGAAAACAGCTAGAAATGAATGCTCTTATAAGTCTCTCTGAAAGCAAGAACATATATAATGCCTGCTTTGACAGTGTGCTGATGATAGTGAATCACTTTATTAAGATAGCATACTTTATACTCATCTATAAGAACTTGAAGTCAAAGAATTTAACTTATATCTTTGTCTGTGATGTGATTCAGTTGCATGAATTATCTATGAATATTATCTTAGATAGAGAATTAATCTTTGTAGAAGAGTTCTGATCTGATCTGATAACTATACTGAAGATTTCATGAGATCTAAGCATGACTTTTCACTAACAGACAGATAATCAGATAGAATGCCTGATAAGTATATTGAAACAGTATCTGTGATACTTTGTTAATTACAATCAGAATGACTGAATGCATTGATTATCACTCACAGAGTTTGTATATAATAACTCAAAGTATGTCAGCATAGATAAAACTCTCTTTAAGATACTCACTGAGACTAGACTGACTGTGTGACTGTGTCTGAGACCAGAATCAAACTTTACAGTTGTCACATTGCCTAAAAGCATTACTTCTAGTCATAGTTTGTGTTCATCACATTGATCTCAAATCACATTATTTCAAATATTAAAGATTTCAGATTCACTTTTCAAATAAAAATCTAGTCTCAGATAAAGAATATATTTGAATTCTTAGTCACATTTTCATTCTGATCTCATTATTGAGAATGACACTAAATGAGATCATGAAATCATTTCTCACTTACATAATATCATAACATAGTACTTATTTATTGAAAATTCAACAGAGAGTGTTATCAAATATCATTACTTTTCTAAACACAGATTATAATTCATATAATTTTAATTATAGAAAAAACATAAAATACAAAAAAAAAATAAAAAACAAAAAACAAAACAAACACAATAAAAAATCACAATAAAAAAAAAAGAAAAGAAAAAGAAAAAAATAAAAAATAAAAATAAAAAAAAATCAAGATCACAGAGTCACAGCACTCTCAAAATACTTATTTCTCAGAGTTTTCACAATATTCATCATTAATCATGTATCTCTCACAGTGAGAGTAACACAGCTGTGATGAGTCATTGTCTTAATATCATCTAATAAATAATCAGTATATATCTGTATAAATGTGAATAATTAGAAAATATACACTTAAAAAGTGTGGTCAGAGTGAACTCTGCTGCCACTTGAATAACATCAAGAACAGAATGCTGGAATCAATGATTCTTCTCATCAATTTCACAGACAAGGCGCGTGAAGATAGTCTTGAGAAATATAAGATTCTTCAACTTCTGATAAAAACAGATCTCATAGAAAGACTTTATTTTCATGATATCAGAGACTGAGTATTATCAAAAAGCATTACTTTCATGCAATGCATATACACTTACTGCAGTGATTCACTCTCTGCACATATGGTCAAGAGTTGCAGCTTTTTCACACTGCACAGCTCTCTCTGAGATGCTGCTGTCAGTTTGTAACTCACACAGCCTCTCAGTTCAGCACACACTGCATGTATGCAGCCCTGTATACTGAGGCCATGTTGATCATTATGACCTGACGTGGTACTCACTTTTCACAAGTCATATTTCATTTGAGAAGAGGGAAGAGAAAGACACAACTGTTATTTTATTAAGAGAAAGATGAATAATTAGTATTATTGAATTAATTTAATTCATCTGTATTTAAAATTTGATTAGTCTATACTCTTCAATTTGAGAGTTTCTATGAGTGTTTTAATAGTTTTCATATCAGCTTGAACTTAGTGATGAGTTGAAGAAGAAGAGAAAAGAGAGAAGAAAGAAATGAGAATAACTTATCTTTATAATATGAAAACAGAGAATCACTGCAATCATTCTCTCTAGCAACAAAGATCTGTTTTCTGCATGTATTTCTTATATGATAAATACATACAAAGAATATCAATAGTGCATGCATTGAATGAAGATAATATTGCTATACAACACTGTAGTTATTTCTGTACATCTCTGAAAGCTGTTAATAGTTTCTTTATCTCTTTATATTTGATAAGTCAATAATATATTTCAATGCACTTCTTCTTTCATCATTATCATTATCATCATCATCATTATCATCATCATCACTATCATCATCATCATTATCATCATTATCATATCATTGCCTGTCTTTATCTCTCTCTTAACACTCATCAAAATCAATCATGTCATTCCTCTTCAAATATTCTGTGGTCCTGCGGACCATCAAGGCGCGTGAGCACTGTCACAGATTAAAGGGAGAGAAGAAGAAGGTGTTCAAGTGCAGAGAGACAGATTGCAAGATATATTATAATGCCTTGAAGAGGCTCTGTAAAAGAGTAGAATGATAATGATTTTAAGTAACACTTCTGATAGATTTAGACTGAACTAAGTATAGGAATAATGCAGATGACACTGCCTGTGAGAGATTGAAAAAGAAGACAGTGAAGACTCTCATGCAGCAGCAGTGAAACCAGGAGAAGTCTTAAGAATGATTTGAGACTAAGATGAAGAGAGAGAGAGAGAAGAAGAGTATTACTATAAATAAGCAGTAGTAGAAGAAGATTGAGAAGATATTAGAGCAGAAGACAAAGAAGTCAAAACTGATAAGTTTTTTATTAAGAGATAACAATTTTTGATAACACTTCTGTTCTCTAATTGATTAGCAGAAGCTGACAGAGAAGAAGATTGAGGCCTTGTTCAGATCTTGAATGCGCTTCATGATTCAGAACATTGAGAAGGCAGCTCTGCTCTCTGAGCATGCTAATCTGCTTATCACTGAAGTGGAATCTGAGGCAGCAGACCAGGAAATGCGGGATTTTGAGGTGCAGGTTGACCTGGCTGAGAGAAAGCAGCAGAAACTCTTCTCTGAGAAGACAGCAGAGGGAGATTTTGAGATGATTATCATCTCAGATGAGGAGAAGAAGAAGGAGAATGAGAATGAGAAGTAGATTGTGAAGAATGATGAGAAGAATGAGAAAGAGAAGAAAGATAATGAGTAGAAAAAGTTTTTTTCTTTTTATATTAATTAGTTATAAATTCATAACTATTAGTTAATAATTAAAATTAATTTTGAGTTTTCAAAAATTATTGTACAAGTTGTAATCAATTATCAATGTCAGGAATAATATATATATATATATTCAACTATCATGTCACTATAATGTATAAGTATCAACATTTTTTCAACATTAATATTCACAATATTAATATATTTTTAATGATATTATCTGATAATGCAATTTGGTAACACTCTCTTTCATAATATTAATATATTTCAAGAAATATGACAGAGATTAATCAAGATTGTTTGTTTACTTTTATACATCAATGATATTCAATCTGAGTTAGTACTAAAATTATAACTAAGCTAAGAAAGAAGATTATTTTCTCTTATATTAATTCTTCTTACACACATCAGTGATCAGTTATTGAAAATAAATTGTCATCTTTCTCAAATTATCATTATATCTTCTGAATTCACTTCTTTCACTTCTTTTACTTCTATTGAAGATTCATAAACTCTTCAAGAAATCACTGTAAATCACAAAGTCTATGTTATTTATAATTCAATACAGAATGCTCTCTTTCAATCATGATGAATAATCACTTCATTCTTCACATCTGATTTCAGGTCATGAAATTTATGAAAAACTCAATATAAACACTGAGATGAACTATGAAATAATTATCAATAGATTGCATTGTAGATTACTGAAGAGTCATCTCTCTACTACAATCACTGCAACTTCATTCAGAAACATTCATTATAAACTGATCATGACTCTGAAGAAATTTTCTGACACCTGAAGTCATCAGAATGCAGACAATAAAAGAAAAATAATCAGAAAATTACTACTGAGCTGGTAAGTTGCTCTATCAGATAATGATTTTTGATAACACTAACTTTCTAATTTGAAGGAAATCATGTGAAAACAATCATGTACTAGTACTCTGATTTCATAACTCTTATCTGATAACTTCTGTGAACAATTACTTTGCATGTATATATCTCTGAATCTTTCTCTTCAATCAATTGAAAACCTCGAATTCCAAACACTTCTTCAAATGCTTAATTCAAATCTTCATATTTCACATCAATTTTGTCTTCAGTTCAATCTCAAGACACACTACAAAGTCAATATACAACATCTAGAATCAGAGTTGAAGAATCAT